GACCATGACCATGGGCTGTCCTTGGCTCTGCACCCTTTCTGTGTGGCGATTATGTGGTGTCATGAAAGGATTTAATCCTCACCTTCCCCACCAAGCTGTTGCTGGGTGGAGGCTGCTGGGAGAGCCATGCTGAGGTGGATGACAGGGCAGGCAGCAGGGCTGCCTCTGACCTTTGGCCCAGAGCCAGGCTGGTGGATGAGGTGCAGGCAGGTGTGGGCCTCACTGCGTGTGTGAGGCTGGGCCCTGTGGGTGTTGTGCCAATGATGCATGAGGGTGAGGCCAGCTGTGGTGGGCTGGTGCCATGGCCTCCTTCTCAGGCTGGAGTTGGGGTTAGGGTCATGATGCTTACAGGCCTCCATTCCCTCTTGACCTCTGCAGTGTTCTCTTGATCTTTTCTTGAGTAAATTGTGTTTCATTTGGCAAATGGTGCCTGCTGTGCATGAGCTCTGTTGGGACACTGGCCTCTGTCCCTTCCCACCCTGGGGCCTGGCAACAGCCCGTGCAGGTGTCCTGCAGGGGTGGCATCAGAGTCTGCAGTTGGGTGGGAAGCGCCAACAGGTCTTTCAAGGTGGGGTGAGGGCAGGCCGGTTTCTGGGATTGTGACCAGAGGCTATTCTGGGCCCTGGGCATAAACTGGCTTCTGCCCACCTTCTTCCTTCATCTCCAACCAGGTGGTACTGGGCCTGGCCTGGAGAAGCCGCCTGGACAAAGGCTGGGTGCTGCTAGGAGGGGGAGGCAGACAGCTCTTCACCCTGTTTGACTCTGTGCCACGTACGAGTCCAAGCTTGGTCTCTGGACCCGTATCCAGCTGCAGTGCCATAATAGGTGCTGTATTCACAGGACGGTGGTGGCAGTGCCTCTGGACATGGCCTGGTCCTGTCCCTGAGGTATGGCATGGTGCACATAGGAGGCTGCTGCTTGGGAGCGTAATGCTGGCAGCTCCAAGGTCCTGGGTCCCGGGAGCACAGTGTCACTGTCCCTGCTGGCCGTGTGGGGTGTGCCCTACTCTGGGTCTGTGGTGGTTCCTGGGGTTTCCATTCCAAACAAGAGATGGCTCTAGGTGCTCACTCCGGGTTGGGAGCATTTTCTGCAGCACGTTGAAGAGTTGAGCAGCTGGTGTCTGATGCCTGTCCAGCTTCTGTGGGCCTCAGCCCACATCTATGACGTGGAGAAGATTGGATGGTGCTGCGTGTGTGTAGGCAGGGTTGTGGTGGCCTCTTTAGGATTGTGACATTAGCTGGCAAGGATGCCTTCATGTTAGAAAACCACAGAGGCTGTCATTGGACCTGGTATGTTCTGTCCTCAGTCTGCAGGTGTGGCTTGCTGTGTGGCTTTGGACATGTGTGGTCCTGCGCACCAGGGAGACTAGGGTCATAGGCCAGAGGGCCCTGCAGACTGTGTGCTGACAGCCCCGACACACTGCTGCCCTCCACCCCCTTGGCTGCCTGGTGCTTTGTGGTGCCTGGCCTGGCCCTGGGTTGCTCCTGTCCCCCATGGAGTATGAGACGCTCCCAGTGGCTATGACTGGTGCTGTTGTGCTGTCCAGGGTGGATGCCTCGGGTCCCTGCTTATACTCGGAGACATGTCTTGAAATGTGGGTGACTGTGCAAGCTGGAGGGTACTGGTGATTACCAGGGTTGGGTTTTGCCGGCACAGCGGCTGTTCTGGCACCATAGTGCAGAATGTTGGTCATCAGTGACTCGCAACTGTGGAAGAGGCGCTCATCTCCAGGGGAGACTGGAGCAACTCTGACCCTGGATTTCTTTCTTCTGGAGTGGCTCCTGTAAGAGGTGGGGCCATGCCAGGTGCTGTGTTGCCCTCCATGGGGCTCTCAGTGCTGTGGAACAAACCACCTCAGAATTGGGTGGCCTGAGGGGAAGGCATGTGTCCATTGTCCCATGTGGCCTGTGGCATGGCAGGACCAGTGCTTCTGTCCTGGATTCTGGGGCGTGGTCCAGAGACCCACCTGCCCAGGCAGGGGCTGCTCCCTGCCGTCCTGGTGTCCAGGTCCAGGTGTCCATGTGGCCCCAGCTTCTCGAGAGCCCCAGGCGGGAGAGAGTTCAGTCTCTTGCTTCACGGGTGGCAAGGACAGCAAGTGTGCGTGTCAGGGCTGGGCCTGTCTCATCCCTGTGTACTGGGGTCTGGGAAACAACAGTCCATGTCTCACTGGTCAGGGTGGGTCAGATTCAGGTTTTGGGCTTCTCTGCTTGGAGCAGTGCCTTCTCACATGTCAAAGGCCCCACCTTGTCATCCCATGACCCGTCACCTCCCAGGCCGTCACCTTGGGGTCACAGTGTGAGGATTTGAGGGACAGATGTTCCAACTGTGGCACAGGCCTCCTGCAGGAAGGCCGTCTCATTCCCAGGATGTTGGTCGGGTGGGTCAGAGGTCAGCCTGTCAAGGTCACGGCCCTGAAAGATTGCCTCCTAGCACAGTGCTGGCTTGGAAAAGATTTCCTATGACTTTTATGCAGATGACCTGTGACAGAACTCTAGGTGGTTTTGTTTTCTAATTTCCTTTCTGGAAAGGAGAGCTTTCATTTCCTTTGTGATTTTGACACCTTGTATTACAAAAGAGTTGCTGTCTGTGCCCATAAAACCCACTGTGGAGCAGGCAGTGATAGGCAGGCGATAGGTGGGCACAGTAGCCCCTGGCTCCTGCTTAGTCAGCTCCTGCCTTGCAATCTCAGGTCCAGCTAGAACCTGGGCCTATTAGGGTGAGGCCGGTCAGGTGCTCACCGCTCAGCCCCAGAGACCAGATCTGTTTGAGGGCAGATGTGGTCTGTAAATCATGCCTTGCAGGGAGTGGTTCTCATCTGCAGGCAGTTTTGCAATGTCTGCAGATGATTTTGTCACAGGTGTGGGGTGACGGACTTGTGGTGGGGCCGTGATCCTGCCAAGCCCTATGGTGAGAGACAGCCCTCTGGGTCTCAAGGCTGGGCCCAGGCTTCTGGCTGGTTCCCTCTGAGAAAGCACAGGAAGGGGCCTGCTGGGGTGCATTGCGCAGCAGGGCTCCAGCCAGGGGCCCTGGACCAAGCATCAGTGGCCAAGGTTGCAGTGCTGAGATGCGACCAGCTCTTCATCATTGGGTTTTTAGTGCAAAGGACAAACATTCGTGGAGCATAAGCAGGACTTTATCTGGGGCTTATTTGCAGATAGGGCAAGACTTGGGCACTAAAATGTGTGGAGGGTTTGTGGTTGTCTGGCTTTGTGTTGTCCTCTTTTGTTTCTTTGTCCCCGTGCTTCCTTTGGACCCCTGTCTGTTGTCACCAAACTGTAGCCCCAGTCCTGATCTGAAGCTCCAGGCAGTGTACATGGGATCCGACTGACTCAGCCTCCTGGCCCTGACCCCATGTTTGGTCTTCTTCCAGCCTTCATCTCATAGGTCCTGGCTCTGAATACCCTGCCATCACACTCCTGCCTCTTCCTGCCCATGGTTGCTGGTTCTCTTGCCGGGCCTTACCTATCTCCTACCGGTCCTGACGCACCTGGCCTGCTCTCTTGGCCTTGCCACCTGGCTTCACCCCCGCAGATGCAGCTTCGGGCATTACGCATTTGCCAAAGCACTGGCCCCACATGCCTGCTCACAGCTCTGCCATGCTGGCCTCGCCCACCTGCCTGGCCTCACCGTGTTGCCATGCCTCAGGCCTGTCTCTCAGCCTGTGTCCGGGTCTTACCCCGCCCAGCCTGGCCTGGAGGCCTCGCTTGGGTGACCTACATCCCAGTTTGACTTTGTAGACCGCACCTTCCTGGCCTTACCCTGGTTTTGCTCTTTGGCTATAATTCCTCCACTGAGCCTGATTGCTGGCCTTCCCTTCTTGGCTGTGGTTTACAGCCAAGGCCTTATCCTTGCGTTAGTAACCTGGCCTGAGCCTCCTGACCTGCTCTCCTGCCCTTATCCACTGGATGGTGTGCACCTGCTGTTAGTAACCTCCTAGACCATGGGCCTGGCCTTACCTGCTTTGCTGTAAACTTCCAGCCTTTCCCCTTGGCCCCACCCCCAGGACCTCACCCACCTGGCCTTGTTATCCTCTTGGCTGTATCCCCCAGCCCCCTGTGGTTTTATCCCCATCTCCTCCTAGGTCTTGGCCTCTTATCTCTATTCTCCTTCATCTCTTGGCCTGGCCTTCCAGCTCCTCAATGGGCCTCAGGCCCCCAGCTTTAGCCTCTCCTGTCTGCCATTAACCTCTTGGCCTTACCACTCCAGTGTTATCGACTCCTGGCTTTAGCTGTTTTACTTTGCTCACCTGCCTTTACTGATCCCCGACCTCACTCATGCTGAGTCTTGGGGCACCCCTTCGGGCTCACTCCTGACTTTAACTTCCTGGCATTTACCCACTCTTTTTGGCTCAGGAAGGGTGATTGAACCTGTTGACTTGTTGAGTCCCTCTCTCATGGTCCTGACATCTTCAGGAGTTGGGCAGCCCCCCGCCACTATCCCTAGCAAAGAGTGTTCTGAGAAAGGACAGGAAGTTGCCAGTGGCCCTGTGGGCTTTGAGTCATTCCCTCTCCTGCATGACCCACGGCCCCATCTTTGTCACATGGGTCAGTGAGCTCTGTCACCACCTTGCTGTCTCTGTTCCTTGGCTCAGCTCGTGTGCTGAGTATCCTGGGTGGGCTGGCCACAGGACTTCTAGGCCCAGGCTTTTGCTGGGAGTAGGAGGATAATGCCAGGTTTCTGCAGGGCTCCTGCAGAATGAGGTCACAACTGGTAAGACACCTTCCTTCCTCCTGTGTTCAGACTCTGTGTTACAGTGTGGCTGCCTTGCAGTTGGCATTTTCCAGGAGCATCCCCACTGCCTCTGATTTCTATGACTGCACAATTTTGTAGGTCACGGTTTGTTGGCTGATGGAGCATCCTGCATTACAGGTTCTCTTGGCATCATAGTGACCCTCTGTCTTTCCAGGATGTTATTGAGGGTACCTGGCAAGGGCTGACGTATTAGCAACTGTGGCACATGGCTCTGTGGACACTGTATTGACCGTTGTTGTTCTCTGCAGGCCGGTCTAATTGAAGCCAACGGAGAACTCAAAGTCTTCATAGACCAGAACTTGAGTCCTGGGAAAGGTAAGGGAGCCTACTCTGGAAATGTGTCTGCTGATGATTGGAGTTGAGTGTTGTGATCTGCTGGCGCAGCTCCTGTGGGCACCCTCGGGTGGATATAGGCTCAGGACAGCAGGCTGCCCGCTACCCACACCCTGTATCTCTGCTGCTAAGCTACATGTCTTGTTTGCAGAGGCTCAGAAGATGTACAGCAGCATAGAGAAGGGACTGTGGCCACCTGTGTTCCTTGCCGGGGCTGGGCTGTCCCAGTGTTGTGCTGTTCCTGCCCCAAGTGGAATGGTGTCTTCCAGGCTGTGTTTGTGCGTCTCAGCAGCTCCCCAGGCTGGCTTTGTTCTCCAGGGATGGGGAAAGGGTTTCTGTGGGCCCCAGGACCCCTCAGCTTACAGCTTTGGGCTCTGTCGTCGTCGTCGTCTGGGGCATGTTGCACAGCTGGAGACCTGTTGTGCTGCACCCCTGTCATGTCCTGGATGCAGTGGCCCTTTGTGGCTGCTCTGCTGTCCCTGGAATTGTGCTGGGTCCTTAGTGCCATGGGTGGGCCAGGAGCCCAGGGCTGGGAGTGCCGGGATGTTTGTTCCCAACTTACCTACTCCTTCTCACATGTGAGTTCGCTTGTTTTTCTCTTAACAGTGAGGCTCTAGAAGATGACCCTGCCCACTGTGGCTCTGAATCGCGCACTGCACCTGCCCAGCTATGCCTTTGTCTCTGGCATCTAGATGTGTGTGTCCCAGAGGCCAGGGAGCCCTGCTGTATTCTTGCCTTGGCCTCTTAGAGCCAGGACCAGATGTCCCAGTTTGTCACCATCCTCTTTTCACCCCATACCCTGTGAGGGATAAAACGGGAGTGGACCAGACTTCTATGGCAGGGAGCATGCTCCAAACTGTGGGATGCAGGGGTGCCTTTCAAGGTTGGCAGCGTTCGCAGCCTGCCAGGGAGGAACGGGGCTCAGTGTCTCTTACCGAATGTGAAAATTTTCAGGAACTCAGTCGAGACACTTCCTATCCTAATGATAAAGCAGAAATAATAGCAAGGAAGTATACAGCGGTATTTCCTTGGGTTTGATGCTTCTCTCCTAGGGTTTATATTAAATTCCTATCCATTCTTACAAGAGGTTAATTGTTCTTATCTTCGCGTGCAGGATCTGGCTTCTGCATTCCTGATAGTTCAGCTGTGCCCAGATCCATGCCAAGCTTCACCATGAGCCAGGGTAGGCAGGAGGGGTCAGAACATGGCACTCAATCCAGCCATGATATGGGGCCAGGCTGGAGGGCTAGGGATCAGAGCACAGTTTAAATCCATTACTAACCCAGGCTTGAACTAGGGCCAGGTGGCAGGGTCAGGCTGTGAATGCACGTGGACTCCTACAGGTGGGAATTTTTTGTTTTGTTTTGGTTTTTTGGTACCGGGGGGCGAACTTGAGATCTTGTGCTTGCGAGACAGGCAGCAGAACCACTGAGCTAAATCCCTGGCAGATGGGATGTTTTTGTGCTGGCTCTGGCCCTGGTTCCCTTGCTGTTTCTGCTATTTCTGTGTCCCTGGCCTCTGGTTGGGCCTAGTGGTTCTGCTCCGTGTGAGCCGGAGTTGGCCCCTTCTGCCCTTGGCCACTCGTCTCTTGAGTGCTCGCTCATACTGCCTGGTGTCTGGCACTCAATGCTACTCCCAATCCTGTCTATGTGCTCTGAACCTGAAGTACTGCGTGGTGAGGTCTCCCTCAGCAATGCCTGCTCTCCTCACATAGGTAAAGCACTGCTGTCAGCCTCTGGTGGTCCTTCTGGAGAATTCCTGTAACAGGTGGACTTGTCTGTCTGCCTACCTGTCAGGTATGCAGTCCTTGTGTTCCAGACAGGTGCTGTCCCTGGTGGGGGGCACCTGGGTTTCCCATGACATGATGGCCTAGAGAGGACACCTGGAGAGGGGCCATGTGCTCCTGCTCAGAAGTGAGGGCCTCCTGTGTTGGCTCTGCATGTTCTTATGCAGCGGCACCCTCTGGTCTGTAGTGGTTGCTTGTCATGTGCTGGACAGGGAGGCGGTATGCCTGCCACGCCCCTTGTTTCCCCGAGTCATCTATGGTTCCTCATGGTGGAGAACCCTGGGGTTCCTCCTGGCCGTCAGCAGTGGAGCCTCCTTTTTGCTCTTGTTTGTGGTGCTGGTGGTAGAATCCAGCCCTACTCGTGCTGGGCAAAGCTCACCACAGAGCTCACCACCCCAGGGCGTCCTGTAAATGTCACCTACATGTGATACCCTGTGTGGCAGTGCTCAGTGAACTGGCTCCGGCTCCTGCCCCACAGCCCAGATGTTGTTGGTGTGTTTCAACTTGGAGGCTCTGGACTCAGCCCTCATGTGAGGGGAGTGGCAGGAGGGAGAGGCTGGGGAGGACAGTGGCAAGGAAAACCAGACAAAGACATTATAGCCGTCCCTGTGACCAGCTCATGGCCACCCTAAGCCGGATGTGTCCTGTGTCTGTCAGGGGATTCACCAAGCAGTCTGGAGAATGGCTGAGTTTGTGACCTGGGTGGAAGCATATGAATCAGCTCTCCTCACATTGTGCTTGTGAGCCTGGACTGCTGTCCCCTCCGGGTCCTCTTGCTCCCAACTCTGCTTCATGTCACAGCCTCCAGCATTGCATCAGCATTGTGGCTGCTCAGAAGATCTCCAGGTCCCCTTGCATGGCAACACGCTCCAGGGCAGCCATGGGGGATGCGGGGAATGGCAGGAAGTTTGGTAGTAGGGCTGACATGTCTGGAGTCTGCAGGGCAGGAGGGGACACTGGAGTCTTGAGGCTGAGCTCTTCTTTTGGGAAACTTTGGGTTTGCTTTCAAAGCCCTCAGCTAGCTGGATGTAGCTACGGTATGCAGCAGTCTCCTTTCTTTCAAGTCCCTCCCCAAGTAGCTCGCCATTGTGACTTTGTCAGTGGGTTCAGGAAAATGAATCGTGCTGAGACTCAGAGCTCCTCCTCCTGCAGAAAGTACACCAGACTGACCCTGTCTGAGAGCCTGAGCAGAGTCCAATGCATGATAGACAGTGAGCCCCATGTGGGGTGGTGTCCTGGCTGGATCATCACTGATGCCAGCCTGGTGTGAATGCTGGTGAGCATTGTGTGTGGCCATGTGGCTCCAGATGGGTGCCCAGGTAGCAAACTGCTGTCCCTGGACTGTTTACTTGCCAAGAGCTGTGTGGTAGCTCTAGGTACCCCGCATCCTCACCAATCTATCTACATGGCATCAGATCTGCTGAGCTTTGTCCGGCCTCCTCCCAGGCTGTAGAGGTGGTATGGTTTTGCCAGGTGACTGGCTAGTTACTGTGAGCAAGGACACTTCTTGCTATCCCAGCACATGGATAAGCGTAGAGGATGTCCACAGAGAAGAGTCATCCAGGCACAGAAAGAGGTGCATTTTATGATCTTATTTCTATATGGGATATAAAAAAAAAAACATCAAGTACACAGAGATGGAAAGCCAAACTGCTCACCAGGAGGATCACCAACTCCAGGGAGAGACAGCAGACTGGGGCAGCAGCACTGATTCCAAGAGAAGCTCATGGCTGTTATAAATGCAAAGACAGCATGTTTTGCTCTGAAAGTGACTACTTCTACAAGGCAGGCTGGAGTTGGGGAGGAAGTTCAGTGCAGTATGTGTCACATCTGAGAGAGTTTAATCTGCAGCCATCTTTGGAAAGGGTTAATTGTTTGTGACTGAGTCTAAGAGCACCTGCTTCGCAGTTGTACTCCAGGCTTTCTGGTGTCAACCTGCCACAGGACTGGGTGGGAGATGGCCACAGGAGGTAGTCATGGAGTGGGAGTGGGCTGGACATAGACTCTGTGAGAAGTTTAAGTTTGGCTGGGAAGGGTATGGAAGTCCCACTCTGTGGTGAAAAGGCAGGCCTGCTGTCTGTGGCTTTCAGAGTGGCTGGATCTGAAATGCTGCCATTAAGTCCAACAGACTACTTGAGCCCCCATCCTGCTAGCCACATTGGGAACAGAGAGCAGTGGTCTCACTGCTTTCTCAGTCTACTACTGTGAGCAAGGACACACCTCAACTTGGACAATTGCCACAGCATGGGGAGTATGGACAGGAACTTCTGGGGTGGGGGAGAGCACTTCATAAACCCATAGGCCGAAGAGTTGGGTGGAGAAAACTGTGACTTGGGGCCCAGCATTTACACCCAAATATTTGAGTATGGAAACAAAATAGGTCAAGGTAGCAGTGACTTACTATCCATCTCCCTTATCTGCTGGATTCTAAGACTGCAGACCCAGGAAAGAAAAAAAAAAATTCAAAGCACACAGCAATATTTTGGACTCATTTTTTCTTGTCCTTCTCCTGCTTTTTTTTTTTTTTTGTACTGGAGATTGAACTCGGGTCCTTGCGCTTGCAAAGCAGACCACCGAACCGCTGAGCTAAATCCTGGCCCCCCTGTTCTTTCTTTTATCAGTTCTTTGTGGTTTGCGGTTTTATTTCCCCTTTTAATTTTTTCTATTTCTTATTTGTACTCTCCCCCCCTTCCCTTCCCCTCTCCCTCTCCCCTCCTCTCCCCCCTCTCCCCTCTCCCCTCTCTGGGGATCAAACTCGAACCTTGTACTTACCAGGCAGGTGTGGTACCACAGAGCTACATCTCTGGCCCTTTTTTCTCATTTGTTGTTTCTGTTACTTTTGTCCATTTCTGTTAATTTTCTTTTATTCCATAATAGGATCCTTTATCCCACTTGTCTTTCCTCTTTCTCATCTTTTCTTGATTTTTCCAATTTTACTTCTTTCATTTTTCTGTTCTCCATCTTTACTAGTTATAACCATTAGTTCTATAAATTTTTAGATATTTAGTTAACTCTATTACTATTGAATTCTTTTCTGTTTTTGAAGTATAGTTGATTTGCTGCACATCAGTATTTGGTTTGTCTTTGTGTTTATTTTATAGCTGTAGACCTCTTTTCTTTGGTTCTGAGAGTAGTACATTCATTCATATGTCAATATCCAGTTTGGCTTTGACTCTATTATTGTTGATTTTGTTGCTGTAGTCAGGGTGGCATAGTTGCTATTAATTGATTTCCTCTATATGCCAGTGCCTCAAACTTAACCCTCCTGTACATGTGCATGCATGCACACGCGCACATGAGACATTAGTAAGAAAAGGCAACCAAGTGCTTCCTAAGAGTCCCGTATCCCCCAGAACTGATCTGTGGGGTATCAGTAGAGAGGAAATCAAAAGCCACACAGCTGAATTACTAGAGATTATAAAAGGGATTTAAAATAAAACCAGATCAATAATATGATGTTTGGTGAGCTCAAGGAGATACAACTAAACAGATAATAGGCTTAATAAACAAAATGATCAGTGATTTTACAGAAGACACTAGTAAGCCAGCTGAGCTAAACAAAATGATACAAAACATGAATGACCACTTCAGCAGAGAATTAGAGTCAATAAAAAGGTACCAAATAAATTCAGATTAAAAAATTCTGTTCAAGTGTAGGCAGTAAAAGTGGCTAGTGTGAAAACATTGTCAGAACCGGAATACTCAAAGATACCTTAAAAACAAAAGAGAACATGAAAAATGGATCCAACAGCTTCTGGATGATACAGAAAAGATTAAGATTAATTAAAATTGATGAAAAAATCAGAAGACAGCACGAATGACATAAAATGTTTACAGAAATAATAGAAAACAATAAATACGGGGAAAAGATTTAACGTATAGGTAAGTGAGGCATATAGAACTTCAAGTAGGCATGAGTAGAAAGGACTTTTTACAACACATTGTAGTCAAAAATCCCAGAAATCCGACACAAGGACAGAATCTTAAAAGCTGTTAGAAGCAATGAATCACTTATAAATCTACTAAAATTAAAGCAGACTTCTCAAAACAAACGTCAAAGGTCAGGAGAACTTGGAGTGAAGAGTTTCAAACCCTTGAAGAAAGCTTCCAACCCAGATTGATATATCTTGCAAGACTTTCAAAATAGATGGAAAAATAAGGTGTTGCCATGACAAAGAGCATCTTAAGAAATTCATGATCACCAAGCCAGCACTCTGAAAAATTCCCACGGATATTCTAGAAAGAGATAATGGAGCCAATAATGCTAAAAAGTCTGACACAAAGAATACACTAGGAAGAGAATGAATACAGATGGAATCGACAACAGGAAAATACCACAGTGACAGAAATTAATACCTTTCATTAATTACTCTTAATGTGAATGGTCTCAATTCCTCAGTGAAAAGATTTGAGATGGGCAGGATGGATCAGAAAACAAAATGGCAACAGTGTGTTCTATATAAGAAGCATATTTAGCCCAAAAAGAAATTGATAGACTAAAAATCAAGGGATGAAAAACAATATTCCATGCAAGGGAACCAGAAACACACAAAAGTAGCTATCCTATTTTGATCACATGTGATCAGAAGAGGCAAAGAAGGTGACTATATATTGGTTAAGGGAAAAACTCAACAGGAAGAAATTATTGGACATAAAAATGAGGTGAATATCAACACAATTATAATGGGGAACTTTAATTCCCCACTGCAACAATAGATCAACTAAAGAAAAAATTCAATGAGGAAAGACCAAGATTGAAAACCTTCAAACCATCAAACGAATGGATTTAACACATTCTTAATGAGGCTGTGATTCCTGTCTTGCTTTCCACCTGCTCTGATTTGAATGTGTTACATTCCTGCCAGCTTGAACTGCCAGTGGTTCTTATGTTAACAGATATCTAGAGTGTTCTATCCAACAACAACAGAATACACATTTTTCTCAACAGTGCGTAGAAAGTTCCAGAGCAGACTAGATACTTGCCCATAAAGCATGCTTAAGTAAATGTAAAAATATTGAAATTATCTCATGTGTATTATCAAGTCATACTGTAATGAAAATAGAAATCAATGGCAAAAGAAACCACAGTAATTCAAATAGGTGGAAATTAAATAATATACTCTTGAATAATCAGTGAGTCACAGAGGAAGTCAAGGAAGAAATTAGTTCCTAGAATCAAATGATAATGCCCATACAGTATGTCACAACCTATGAGACAGAATGAAAGCAGTCCTAAGGGGGAAGTTTAGCGCAGGAACATCCATATCAGGTAAACATTGTAGGCCCAAATAAATAACCCAACAATGCAGACTTTTTTT